CAGAATTTGCGCACACTAGATTATTGGCATAAACGTCACATCTCTAACTGACAGCTGTCAATGTCATTAGAAGGATTGGACATTCGCGCGCGTTCCTGGCGAGATATCTAGTGAAGTGTTTAAATTAGTATAGCTAGTGATCGCTAGTTACAATTAAATTAGTTATTTAAAAGTATATACCTACTGAGGTTAGGCACAATATGTAATGCTCTTCCATACATCTCTATCTGCCTTCTTTAATATTCCATTTCACAAGGAAATACTTGGATTTCTTCGGTCTATCTTTGTAGCAATCCATATTCAATCTTAATCATCATCATCATCAGAGGCACTACAGCCGCGGGTAGGCCTGGGCCTGGTCCAGTAAATTCCTCCATATCGGTCTTTCTTGGGCTTTTTGTTTCCAGCCCTTAATGCCGACAGTTTTAAGGTCTCGTTCGACATCATCTTGCCATTTTAGTTTCGGCCTCCCGCGTGATCTACGTCCCTCTGGTTGACTCTCTAATAGGCGTTTGGGCACTCTGCAGTCACTCATCCTCGCTACATGTCCTGCCCAGCGTAGCCGACCAATTTTGATGGCCTTGACGACATTTGGCTCATTAAAGATTTGGTAAAGTTCGTGATTGTATCGAGTTCGCCATTGATTATTTACAAACAGAGCTCCATAAATGCGCCGCAGTATCCTACGCTCAAACACCATCAATCGTTCTTCGTCTTTCTTTGTCAAAACCCAACATTCTGAGGCATACGTCAATGTTGGTCTAAGAAGTGTCTAATAAAGGAGAATTTTAGTGCTTCTGGATAGTATTTTCGAGCTAAAATATCGTGACAGGCTATAGGAACATTTATTAGCAGCCGTAATTCTCCTGTTAATCTCCAAAGACATGTCATTGTTATTTGTTATGAGTGTTCCCAGGTATACAAAATTTTCGACACTGACAAAGGTGCTACTGCCAATTTTTACAGATACTGGTTGGGCTGTTGGTGATTGTTGCTTGGTATGTCTAAGATACTTTGTCTTGTCCTTGTTGACTTCCAGGCCGGCCTCCGCAGATGTTTCTAGGGCAAGGTACGCACTCTCTATCTCAGACATGTTCCTGCCGATCACATCTATGTCATCTGCGTATCCCAAAATTTGCGCCGATTTAAAAAATATGTTACCGCTGGTCTTGATCTTTGAATCGCGAATGCATTTTTCAAGAGCAACGTTAAAGAGTAGGCATCATAGTACGTTCCCATTGCTTGAGGCCATCATAGGTGCTAAATGGTTGTGATAGGTCCGACTGTATCCTAACAACGCTCCGTGTATGCCTAAGGGTCATCTCTGTTAGATTCAATCTTAATACCTTTTTGTTTATGTGATCATTGAAACATTAGGTGTTAGGATCGAAATAGATGAA